TAAGTATTAAAGACCAACATTCAATTACGCGTACAGTCACTTTAATTAAGTATTAAAGACCAACATTCAATATAGCGTACAGTCACTTTAATTAAGGACTTGAACACAAAATAAGAATCGATTTGAATTCGAAAAAAAATTGACTGACAACTAAACACCCTCCTATGAAAACTGACAAAACATGCTATTAAACGCCAAGCTCACGTTGCAACGAAAAATCTCCATATTACGTCACTCAAAACAATGAATTGATAAAAAATAATTTTAATTGATGAATTTCGTGAAAAGAAAATAACCATTCAAGCAAAAACTCCGAAATAGTTAAACAAATTGCTAATATAAAAAAATCTCCTTATTTTTTAGAAGCAATTATGAAGATGTTTTACAGATTACTTTCATTTTTCAATTTGCTCTGCGACATTGAATAATACTCTAACCGGGGGGAAATGGTCAGAATATATTTTATAAAAATGATTTCAGGAAAATCTCCTTTCCTATTTATTTGATTATCTTGCACTTTCATCGAAAGGATTGTCAAAATAACTTAGACATAACGATTTTGTTTCACAGCTTGCATCACCCAAAGTTTAAACATTGCGCACGTAATAACCTTTTCCTTTGCACTATATTTTGTGAGCTATTTCTGAAAATGTTAGGTTTACAGCTCTTTATCCCCATATAATTGCCGCTAAAGCTTCAAAAGCTGCTTTAAAAGGCAAACATGACTTTAGTTTATGAATTAACATATGTTATTTCTTTGTTTTTTATCAAAGAGTTCGATTCCGGTAAACTTTTTGAATAAAAAAACAAAAAATGAAGGATTTAAACTCGAAATATCGAAATATCGATCATAACTCGTTCAATTTTAGAATTTTAAAAAAATTCCAACGGATTTAATTTTCCTGGACAATTTCGAAGGAAACGATAAAAAAAAATATTTTTGAGTCATGTTCTATGTAGGGCTTTTTAAAACTATAGCAGCTAATTGTATCATACAGTTCTTAACTAATTTGAGCATTTTAACATTTTAGATTAGGGCTCACGGTTCATAGTGCAATGGGAAAGTTACCCGTGCGCATCTATTTTCGGAAATTGGTCATGAGCGTGGACACCTTAATCCGCAGGCATTTGCCATTTTCTGTTGTGTGCAAATGCCCCGTAAAATTCCAAAACAGAGAGAGGGGGATTGAATTTTGTAGATCCAGAAAAATAATGTCTGTGGGATGCCTGCCTAGAGACTGGCAGCTGGTGGGGTCTTAAATTTAAGACATGTGGCCACAGTGCTCGGCCCCCCAGCCTGTCCTAGCCGCAGCGCTCAGCCCAGAAAGTGTCATAACTTAACCTAACCCGTGGCCGCAGCGCTCGGCCCAGAAAGTGTCTTAACCTAACCTAACCCTAAATAAATACTAATTTATTTTTCTGGATCTACAAAATTAAATCCCCCTCTCTCTGTTTTGGAATTTTAAGGGGCATTTGCGCACAACAGAAAATGGCAAATCCCTAATCCGCATCCTTGAACTTTGATTTTACAGGGTGTCTCATGAAACATGTCAGTTGGTGAATAGTTTTATAAGTCTTCTTTTTTAATTTTTTTATGTTCTTTAATATCAAAGAAAATAATAAAAAATATCACATTGTACAGTAAATCCCAGATATATGAATTCATAGAAAGAGTTTAACGAGGGAGTGACAGCAATTATCAAAAACGTCAAAAATAGGAATTTCCAGAATGCATGAGTATCTGGGAAATTTCCCAAATATCCAGTCATTTGAGAAATTTCCAACATCTTAAAAATTAACCACCCTCAAATACCTATAGGAATTTGGTGAATTTCCCAAATGCCTGGTTATCTGAGAAATTTCCCAAATACCTAGATTTATGGGAAACTCTCCAATAATCCAGTCATTTGAGAAATTTCCAAAATCTTTAAAATACCTATAGGAATTTGGGGAATTTCCCAAATGCCTGGGTATCTCGGAAATTTGCCAAATTGCTGGGTATCTGGGAAATTTCCCAAATGCCTGGGTATCTGGGAAATTTCCCAAATGCCTAGGTTTTTGAGAAATTCCCCAAATATCCAGTCATTTTAGAAATTACCAAAATCTTAAAAATATAGTACCCTCAAATACCTATAGGAATGTGGGGAATTTCCCAAATGCCTAGTTTTTCGGAAAATTCCCCAAATATCCAGTCATTTGAGAAATATCCAAAATCTTAAAAATAAACCACTCTCAAATACCTATAGGAATTTGGTGAATTTCCCAAATGCCTGGGTATCTGGGAAATTTCCCAAATGCCTGGGTATCTGGGAAATTTCCCAAATGCCTGGGTATCTGGGAAATTTCCCAAATGCCTGGGTATCTGGGAAATTTCCCAAATACCTACAGATATTTGAGGGTGGTATATTTTTAAGACTTTGGAAATTTCTCAAATGACTGGAAATTTCCAAGATACCCAGGCATTTCCCCAAATACTCAGACATTTGAGGAATTTCCAAAATACCTAGGTTTTTGGGAAACTCCCCAAAAATCCAGTTATTTGAGAAATTTCCAAAATCTTTAAAATATACCACCCTCAAATACTTATAAGGAATTTGGGGAATTTCTCAAATGCATGGGTATCTGGAAAATTTCCAAAATGCCTAGGTTTTTGGGAAATTCCCCAAATACCTAGTAATTCGAGAAATTTCCAAAATCTTAAAAACATACCACTCTCAAATGCCTGGTATCTGGGAAATTTCCCAAATGCCTGGGTATCTGGAAAATTTCCCAAATGCATGGGTATCTGAGAAATTTCCCAAATGCCTAGGTTTTTGGGAAATTCCCCAAATATCTAGTCATTTGAGAAATTTCCAAAATCTTAAAAATGCACCACCCAAATGCCTGGGTATCTGGGAAATTTCCCAAATGCCTATTTAAAAAAAAAATGCTGTCTTGTCATCAGTTTAACTCAACATATCTAAGATCAAATGCCGCGGAGAAACGAACATTTAATATTATTAATATACCAATTGCTATTCTGCATATTTCAGGGATAATTGGGTACCTTCTCAAAAATCGTATTCAACCTTTAAAACTGTGTACATCTCCGCAGCTTTCTTTCTGTGCAGACCCAAGATGAAGCATAACAGCAGTCATAAGCTTTAAAATAAATTTCAAGACGACATTTCATGCGCTCTTGCTAAGTATTCTTATATGTGAGATTGCCTGTGGTAAAATTGATAGTAAATCTTAAAATATGTAATACAGTTCATGGAAGAAGTTCAAAAGTTTTAACAAACTGTCATGTTTTGCCAATAGTAACTAACGCGCCACTTTTAGCTTTAGTTTTCTGAAGTAATTGGAAAAATATTCAATGATTCCACGTGAAATCATATCGTGCTGCTCAATTTATGAAAATAAAAATTCTCAGAGGCACTTTATCATTTAGAGGCGACAATGTAATATTTCTTTCGTTGTCTTCGAGCTTCTGGGTTATACAAAGGATGAGACTTCAGACACTATTTAGTCCGGTCTCTTGCATTTCGGGTTCCTTGTAAGCAGGGGCGTATTCAGGGGGGGGGGCTAAGCCCCCCTGGACCAGTGAAATCTATTGATTTCAGGGGGTTTTCAGGCCCCAACGGGTGCTGAGCCCACCCCTTGGAAGGATAAATTTAAGCCCCCCCCCCCCCGGACAAATTCCTGAATACGCCCTTGCTTGTAGGCCAAAACTGATTTTTTCTGTGCTTAATTATTTTAAAACATCAAAATATAATAAAATCCATAAAAATTTAAAATCAAATTTTAAATAGTCATATCGTACGAGTTTTGACTCGTCTTTACAACCTCATTCTTTTTGGGTAACCTTCTACTGTAGATATAAAGTTTTTACTCTTTGTACAATGTTTATGTAGATATATATATCTTTATTACAAAAATGTATTTAACTTCAGAATATATATTTGTTATATTAAGAATCACAGATTAAATTACTGGATTACGATGTTTTATTACATTTTGTATCAAAATAAAAGACGGAAGCTTTTAACCAAATGTGAAAACAAAGTTTACAAAGTGTAATTAAAACTTCAAGATCTAAGTTTTCATTTTCAAAATTGTGGATTCCGGTGATATTCTAAATAAGCCGGAATAATATGAATTGATTGATAACTTACAAGTCGTCTTTGACCCTTAGAAATAGTTAGCGGCATTCCACATAGGTAACCTGTTTTAACAATATATCTTTCTGAAACAAATATAAAATAATATTCCTAGTCCTGGTGTCGTATCGATTGCACTAATGATTGATCGGACTAACGTTCATTCGGACTAACGTTTTATTTTAGGGTTAGGTTAGGTTAAGACAATTTCTGGGCCGAGCGTTGCTGCTAGGACAAGCTAGGGGACCGAGCGCGGCGGCTCGGACAGGTTAGGGGGCCGGGCGCTGCGGCCACAAGTGTTACTGATCAGCTGACTTTAGTGCAAAAGTACGTCAGTTCAATCGGAAATTAGTGCAAATGAAATAGCATCCTAGTCCTGTCATTTTCAAAATGTGGTCTGCTAGTTTAGTGCTTTAATAATCTCCGGAGATATAAATTAAATCGTTCATAGTTTTATTTAATAAATTGAAACTTAAACCAAATTCTTAAAATCTCTGGTATTTTTAAGGGCTCAAAAAACTGGCACACCACATTTTGAAAATTGCAGGATTAGGGCTATTTTGGTATCATATTGCTAAAGTAAAATTACCTATGTTGAATGCCGCAAGCATTTTTAAGGTCAAAAACAAACGACTGTGAAATTATCAATCAATTCATATAATTCCGGGTTATTTAGAACATTACTGTTTGTACTTTTCATTTTAAGATATTCCACTCTAAACTTGTTAAAGATTTAGAAGGGATTTTAACAATTTTAAAATAGCACTGTAATTCTTTAATAAATTTAATTAAAATTGCATGCAAAATAAATTTATTTTGTAAAATAAAAATAAAATTTAGAATTCACTTCAAACTAAAAACTTGGATGCAAATAAATTTAATTTACATTAAAAGCGCAGTTACATATATGTACACGAGATTCAAGTTATAAACTGAACAATTTACAATTTACACTTTACACAAAAAAAATACTGATTTATAACAATGTTCTTCCAGACAAAGGCATATAAACTTTCTTCACTCCCCCCCCCCCCCTATTCACCAAAAGCTTGTAAAAAGGGCGTTATAGTTAACCGTTATATTAGAAAACGTGAATGAAAAACTTTAATAAAACTGGATTATTAAAGTAACATGGACATTGGACATGAGCACCCAAACGTAGTTCTAGATCTGGAAGGTTTGTACACTGTACAGTGTACACTGTGCACGGTTCAAATAATATAGTGTACTATTATGGCTAATTGATGTACTTTACTGTATACTATCTGTGTTTGTTTTGCTGTACTAAAACTTCAACTCTCTCCATAAGTTTGTAAACGGGTCCAATGTTGTACGGGAACAAGTCTTTATCAAGCAACCTAAATTTATGCAATAATGAAATAGAATCAAAATCCTAATCCTAATCCTAATCCTAATCCTAATCCTAATCCTAATCCTAATTTTATCATTATCATTATCATTATCATTATCATTATTATTATTATTATCATTATCATTATCATTATCATTATTATTATTATTATTATTATTATTAACATTACATGATAATATTATTTTATTAAATTTGACAAACTATTGAATCATCAAATATATTAGTATGATTATTATATTAAGTTTGAAACTAACTTTGCAATTGATTGCTTAAGCTTGAGTAGAACTGTGGCAGTGTTGTTATACTCCTCTCCACTTACTCTCATAAATCCAATCCAATCCTAGAATTTTACATTATTTAATAATTAATTACAATTATAGGGCTTTATTTAAAGGGACTGTGTGCGTAATTTCAAGTGAACCTCCATGCAAAGATGAGAATTTCCAATTTACAAGGGTACCCGAAAAAGCGTTGTCAGATCAAGTACAGGGGATATTAGTTCCAAACCTAACACTTGGCCCATTTCTAACACTGAGTGATAGAAACGGGCCAAATCTGCAAAGTTATCTTTTTCAAGATTATATATCTTTGAATCCAAAACAATTAGAACAGAACTACATAATATATCTAGAAAAAAAATCTATATATTGAAACAATAAATGTCAATTTTAAACTAATAATAAGGTGTGCAAATTAGTTTTTGATGATTCATGATTTCTTTTTCAAACATATCCCTATTTAGAAACAATTACCGGATTGCAGCTCATGTCGCGTTTTCGGAACATATCCTGGTTTTGAGACAATTACCAGTATTCATTTCAATGTAACTTTTTATTCATTTACGAACTTACGTAACAAAACAAGATTTTTTGATAAGGTAAAATAAAACCAAAATAGGAAATAAAAATAAACTGTTCTTTTATAATTTAAAAATCATTACAGCATTGAGAAATTCAAATATTTATATCATTTGTTCTTACAATATAGATTTAACTAGAAATGCAGGAAACTGTTTGTTTAAAATGCTTGAAAATAAATCATCGACATTCTCTAATTTAACAGATAAAATGTGGAAACTTGGATTCTAGAAATAATTCTGAAGTTAATTTAGTCTTTATAAGAGAATTTTTGTTTTCAGTGATTTATTTTGGTATTTATGAAAGACAGTTTTGTTTTGAATTGCAGATTATTCTTAAAACGGGAAAGCGGGGTTTGTCTCAAATTCTAAATATGTTCGAAAATGGAAAACTTGACATGCATTGTCCTGAAAACGGTCAAGATAATTAGTATAAAAGAACTCCTATTATAATTTTGATTAAAAAAAATTAAAATTGGGAATTGTTATTTTGGTTATAGTCTTTATTATCAACCTTCAATCTTCATAATAAATACTTTTTAAGAGTCAGATTTATTGAATTATGGCATATGTTGTCTATTCATTCCTTTTATCCTCTGTATATAATATTGAATTATGTGATATGTTGTCTATTTTCTTATGGGTTCTCCTATATTTATAATATTGAATTATGTAATATGTTATCTATTCTTAATGGGTTCCCCTATATATAATATTGAATTATGTGATATGTTGTCTATTGTGATTAGATTGTGGAAGGAGAGGAACCAATATTAATATGAATATTAATATATTGAGTTGCAGTCAGTGTATTCTGTAGTCAACATTAGAGAGTATATATAAAAGGGGGAACAGGGGCTGTATATTTTCTTATTGTGGGAGGGGGGCCTCCTCTTAAGCTTCTAAACAGCAAACTATTTTTTTATGTTCTTCACTATTCAGTTTTAGATTTGAAAAGTGTGATAGCTCCGGGGTTTAGGGGGGGGCTACTACGCCCCCCTGTACAGGTCTAGGTGGGGGCACTGGCCCCCTTGCCCCCCTCTGTATACGCCCTTGTCCACTTCACTGCCAAATAATTTCTATTCAAAGATTCTGATCATATTGACGAATGTATCTGGAATCTGAATATGATAGTATATAATCTGTTTTTGTTCAATCTATATTCTACAATCAACATTATACAATTTACAATCTACGTTCTGCAATCTTCATTCTAAATTCTTCATTCTGCAATCTGCAATCTGCATTCTACATTCTATTATTTACATTTGCAATTTACAATTAACAACTTAGAACACTGAGCAGCACTGAGCAGCACTGAGCAGCACTGAGCAGCANCAGTCTACAGTCTACAGTCTACAGTCTACAGTCTACAGTCTACAGTCTACAGTCTACAGTCTACAGTCTACAGTCTACAGTCTACAGTCTACAGTCTACAGTCTACAGTCTACAGTCTACAGTCTACAGTCTACAGTCTACAGTCTACAGTCTACAGTCTACAGTCTACAGTCTACAGTCTACAATCTACAATCTACAATCTACAATCTACAATCTACAATCTACAATCTACAATCTACAATCTACAATCTAAAGAATACAGTCTACAGTCTACAGTCTACAGTCTACAGTCTACAGTCTACAGTCTACAGTCTACAATCTACAATCTACAATCTACAAACTACAATCTACAATCTACAATCTACAATCTACAATCTACAATCTACAATCTACAATCTACAATCTACAATCTACCAACTACAAACTACAAACTACAAACTACAAACTACAAACTACAAACTACAAACTACAAACCACAATCTACAATCTACAATCTACAAACTACAATCTACAATTTACATTCTACAATCTACATTCTACAATTTTCATGGCTGTCTGTCAGTTTCTAGGTTTAATGAGATTTATTTCTAAAATGCACAGGGTTACCCACAGAGGATGAGAATTCAGAGACGACTGTACAAATTGAGATTTGTGTTTTTCGGTCCAATTTTGGTTCTCTGCTCTATGGACTTGTTTAATTCTTAATTTTAATGGCATAAGACCAAATTCAACATTCAATTAATTATAATTGATAGGTTTTGTCGTAATAAAAGTATCATCCTTTGTAGGAAACACAGTGCATAATCAATTAAAAAAATCCAAAAATATCTAATCTCTTTTATCCTTTCTCTGAAGATTTTCTTAACATATGAATCAACAAATAATATGATATCTTTAAAAAATAATAATAACGTCAATTATAGAAATAACATGAGTATCAATATAATGAATGTTCTATCCATGATATTAAAAAAAGACGCTTATAAAACAAGAAGTGGATAAACATTAAAAATAAATGTATCTAAGTGCTTTTCTTTTCTTTTAGAAGATTCTCTCTAATTAATTGTTTTCTTGAATCCTTTTCTCTTATATAATAACGATAGTTAAATTCTGCTCTTACACAAAATAAAAAAATGTAGCAGGAAAATAGCTTAAAATTTTGGAATAGAGATGCGGCATTCAAGAAATATTAACAGTTTACAAAAATTTACAGTAATAAAGTCTACAGTCTATAGATTACAGTTTGCAGTCTACAATCTACAATCTACAATCTACAATCTGCAATCTACTATCTGCAATCTACTATCTACAATCTACAATCTACAATCTACGATCTACAATCTACAATCTACAATCTACAATCTACAATCTACNAACAGTTTGAACAGTTTGAACAGTTTGAACAGTTTGAACAGTTTGAACAGTTTGAACAGTTTGAACAGTTTGAACAGTTTGAACAGTTTGAACAGTTTGAACAGTTTGAACAGTTTGAACAGTTTACAGTTTGAACAGTTTACAGTTGGTACAGTTTACAGTTTACAGTTTACAGTTTATACAGTTTACAGTTTGTACAGTTTACAGTTTGCACAGTTTACCGTTTGTAAAGTTTACAGTTTGAACAGTTTACAGTTTACAGTAAAAAGTTTACAGTTTACATCCCTGGTTCTATTCTTCTTATATAATCCCGGGGGAGAAACTAAGAAGAAAATATTTGGTAAAAAAAGAAATAAAATAAATCAAATTGAAAGGCACCACTTTTAACGCAGACACAACTTTTAAAATTCCCAAATTGTTAAAGGAGAAAAGTATAAAAATGGTAATACAAATTTAAGAGTGGGTATACAAATTTAAGTAAAGAAAAAATAAAGAAATTAGCTTTGGTGTAAAATACAGTGGTAGGCGATTATATCAATACAATGAAGACGACATTTTTATTTAAGTTTTGATTGTTTACAAGTTTCTTCCAAATTACAAGTTTACAAGTATCAATTAAAGAGAAGCTTTTTTACTCGACGGCTTCTTTTTGGTTTCCATGTTCTTAAAAAGCTTGATAAAAATCAAAATTGAAATCGAAAGTCATCTTAATTGTTTTGATATATGCAACGACCAGTGTATGTTTCCTAAAATATGGAAAATATTAAATATCAGGTCTTAAAAAACAAAACTTAAAATTTCACTATTGCATTGTAGTTTATTTAAGAAAGAAAGAGAATCAGTTCCTTTAAACTTTAATTTTTTTGTTGTTGTTAAAATAGCTTCAAGGGCCTTCGCCAGGATATCATTTTTATCATTCTTGAATATTCTCAAAAAACAACCTTTTTTTTGAAATTTTGAGTGTTCGAAGTATTATAAAAGAAATGACATTAGTGGTAAAATTTCTATCAAAGTGAAGAAAATTATAATAAAAAAAGTTAGATGTTAGCCAACAGTAAGGGGACCAAATTACATATTGGTTTAAAGTGAATCCATTGATATACTGTTTTATGGTTTAATTGGATTTTTTAAACTTGAGTTCAGGGTGAGCGTTATGTATTATGTATTACAAGCTGAAGAGCCCAACGTTGCTCGTGGAGAAAAAATTGAAAAAAATGTTGAAACAAAATTTCGATTTTTATTAGCAATTAACACCCCCCCCCCCCCCGGTCACTCCTAAGAGTGTCCACAACAAATTTCAGCCTATTCGGTCCAGCCGTTTGGCCGGCTATACACAACAAATTTATATACGAGTGTCTTGTTTTATTAGATAGATGTGTAAGTTGATGCCAGTTTGCACAACGTTTAAAATATAAAGAAAACACATCACTGTTAAGATAAAAAAACATATTGAAGAATAAGACAGAAGAGTAAAAATCTAGAAAAAAATATTGAGAAAAGAAATAACTTAAAAGTGACATTAAAACAACATGGGACAACAAAAGGCGATATGACAGGAATAATAAAAAAATAACAAACAGCGTACTGAAGTATTTTAAGGGACCTCGTCACCTCTGTGAACTCAACGCCGTTACATTTGTTATAGGAAAATATAGAATATATTCAACGCGCTTTTCAAAAATTGCATTGATTCGAATGTGAATATTTTACTACGTCAATTCTAGCAGTTAAATAGTATACACGGGCAGCCGCAGTACATTTGAATTTCCGAGCCGGGTCAAGCTGTCCGGTCCAAGTTTGTACTTTATCACCCGGACATTGGGTAAATAAAGCAGACAATCAATAGGACTAGCCGGTGCAACATGGTTGACGCGGTCAGACTTTGGGTTGAATTTACTTTTACTAAAGGGTCAGAGGTGCGTGTATATATAAATATTCCTGAAATATAAAACAGCTTGCAAACTAAGCATTTAACAATTAAAAGCGGTTCTGTAAATAAAAAGGAAACGTCTGTCATCCTTAATTAGTAAAAATTTAAAGTACTCCGTTGTAAATAGGGAATGTCCCTCTTTAAATGTATGGTCACTTGAAATTACGCTTTCAGTACTCTTAACTAAAGAACGAAACAGGTTAAAAAAGATGGGAGACTAACCTTGACAATGAATTTCAGGTATCTGAGTAAATACAGAAGGAAACAGGTTTCATTGGAGACTAGAAAATCCAGGAGTACACTTGAGTCCCCTCCAACTATAGATAGAAACTTGGAGAACCCAGAGATAGGATTGCATTCATATACATCCTAGAATAGAATAAAAAAGATTGAGTTTCAAACATCAAAGAATCAATAGCATGCAATCTAAAAGCCAAGACTTTTTTAATTTAATTTTTTAATTATAATTTTTGCGGATTTGATTTTCTTTATGGTTCGCTATTATAGAATTGCAAAAGCTACCTGATAATCTCTATTGGGTAAATGAAGTGCTAGATGAGTGTCCAGAAGACAAAGAAGACCTTCCACAAGAACATCATCTTGTTCCTGAAAAATGGTTTAATTAGGGTGGGGTTGAAAACCCAAGAAGAAGCTTTTACGAGGGTGAGATGGTAAGAAAATTTAGGCTCGGGGACAGGACCCGGAAAATTTCAGATAAAACCAGGACAGGACCAGGACAATTTCAGATAAAAACCAGGACAGGACCTGGACAATTTCAAATAAAACCAGGACAGGACCCGGGAAATTTTAGGTAAAACCAGGAAAAGACCAGGACAAGACCAGGACAATTTCAAATAAAACCAGGACAGGACCAGGACAATTTCAGATGAAACCAGTACAGGGCCAGGACAATTTCAAATAAAACAAGGACAGGATCAGGATTAGTTCAGATAAAACAAGGAGAGGACAAGGATTAGTTCAGATAAAACCAGTACAGAACCAGGACAAAAACTGGACAGGACTAGGACAAGTTTCGATGAAACCATGACAGGACAAGGACTAGTTCAGATAAACCTGGACAGAAGGGACGAGGCAGTGGACCAGTTTGTTCGCTATCCTACACAGATATTATTAAACAAACCCCACCTTGTCTATCGACAAAATGCCCTTCAATTCTTCAAGAAAAAGTAGAAATAATTGTCCTTGAGTTCAAAATTCATTAGGACCAAACTTACTTGCAGGACATGCAGTAGATTGTCTTGTAGTTTAGAGTCCGGTAGGACAGGTATGACAGCTTTAATCCAGGCATCAAGTTGTTTATACATCCCGCTCATATTCCGCTCTTTATCATTATTCATATTTTAAAATCATAAACATCACTGAGTTCACTGAGTTCATGGAGTTCGATGAGAACAATAAGTACCCGGAGTGCAAGGAGTTAAAGGAGTGCAAGGAGTTAAGAGAGTATAAAAAGTACTCGGAGTTCAAGGAGTGCAAGGAGTGCAAGGAGCGTAAGGAGCGTAAGGAGTGCAAGGAGTTAAGAGAGTACAAAGAGTGCAAGGAGTTAAGAGAGTACAAGGAGTACCCGGAGTGCAAGGAGTTAAAGGAGTTCAAGGAAAGCAATGAGTGTAAGGAGTGCAAAGAGTTAAGAGAGTACAAAGAGTACCCGGAGTTCAAGGAGTGCAAGGAGTGTAAGGAGTGCAAGGAGTGTAAGGAGTGCAAGGAGTGTAATGAGTGCAAGGAGTTAAGAGAGTACAAAGAGTACCCGGAGTTCAAGGAGTGCAAGGAGTATAAGGAGTGCAAGAGATAGCAGGATTTCAAGATCAAGAAGTGTAAGGAGCGCAAGGATTAACCGGATTTCAAGAAACGTAAGGAGTTCAACGAGTACAGGGAGTGCAATGAGTTCAAAGAGTACAAGGAGTGCAAGGAGTTCAAAGAGTACAAGGAGTGCAAGGAGCTTAAGGAGTTCAAGGAGTGCAAGAAGTTTAATGAGTTCATGGAGTTCAAGAAGTGAAAGACTGAAGAGTGAGATATTCTACATGGAAATAAATCAAACCGTAATAAAAAGAGTGTGTGTGGGGGGAGGGTAAGATAAAATAATATAAATATATTCCTATAATAACAAGATCTGAGCTACAGCTATCCCCAGACTCTCGAGAGCTTAAACTTGAATCAGATTCTCCACTGCTAGAATCCATCCTAGATAAAAAACAATATCAGTGATACAATAAGAAATAAAAATACGAAAAAATGATTTGTTTCACTGTTAAAGGATTTGTGAGGTTTCAGTCAAATTTGTCATTATGAAGGAGGCAAAAAGCGTTTTTCCGCATTATGGGAGACTACAAACATACTTCTTTTTTACACAATGAATCAATGTTTGTTAATTGCAAGTTCTAAGTTATTTTCGTCTAAACGGGAAAACCAAATGAACCAAATATAAGTGTAAAAAAGTGGTTCAAGCATAAAAAATGTATAAATGTAACAGAAAAAGTGGTGCGAGGAGCAATGAATTCTTTCGTTTTACCTGGATTCTCTGGTTGTAAGTGCAACTGCCTTAAGTATTATCAAAACTATTTTCTGAACCATTCCTCGATCGTAGCCTACATCTCTTCGTTCCTCTCCTTCTCCCTCCTTCTCTGCCCTACTCTCCTGTCTGTCCTGTATCCAGGTATCATCTTTAACTGCTTGTCCTCCAAACCCAGAGTATCCCTTGTATGGTACACGAGAGAGAAATCCTTCAAACCGAACCAGTCTAAAACAAACAAAACTAAAATTCAATCTTGCAAAATGTAAATAAATCGTTCATTTTCGAGAGTTGTAAGCATAATATAAATAAACTAGAGATAATTTTTCAAATCTCGGCCGTGTTCCTTCTCTCTAAGCTACTATTTTAGGACAAACTACAGCCTGAAAGAAGAAGGCTAAATCAGTGAGATCCACTCAAGAACTATATATGAAGGATGATTAAATAATCAAGAACATTCCCTTTGATCCTGTCAATTTTCAAGTTAAAAGAAATCAAAATTTAATTTTATTCTGTATTTAAAAAGTTAAGTTGTAATGTAAACCAGAATTTTATCGAGCATCTTAAAGGAAAATAATATTGGCACATTTTAAATGCTAAAACTGTAAAATGTAATATTCAATCCCAAGCTTTCATAGTAAATAATGATCATCATGTTACAAATGATCATTGGATATCAAGATCAGTAAAGACTTGCTCCCTAATCCTATCTCAAGAAGTGATCCGTTAATTCAAATGACATTCAAGGTACAAAATAGTTATCAAAATTTTGTTCGGAGATCAAATAAAGCATTAGATTCATTTATTGTGTTGCAGTTGTTTGATCCAGTTGATCATCAAGAGTGATCAGCATAACCCGGAGTTCTTAAGACTCCAAAAGAGGCTAGGGTTGTCTCACAAACACAAGCAGAGCTGGGAACTTTTGAATCGTGGATATCATGATTAATGCTTGATCCACTCTTTTTCTTAATCTCCAAATTAAATAATGATTGTTCACCTCTTGTTATTAATCAACAGATCAATTAACCGATCGGGATTAAAGAAATCCCATTCTAAAGTTTTCAGCTCCGGTCAATAAACAGAACTTATTAAAATATATTTATTTGAAGAAGATAATTGACGTTGAAACGTGATTTCAACTGATTGATCTTTAGATGCGGAACAGGACGAGATATCTTTACCAGGGCTTCCTATCTACAGTTTGATCCTACATCTTATATTCATCTACACTCACAGTCAGCTTTAACAAAGATCTCACGGTGATCTAGCGGGATCTCACGGTGATTTACAGCACACAAGTAGTCTGGAAAACCTTGCAGGTATTGTTTATATCTAATAAATCTAATCTACATCAACTCTGTAATATCCGCAATGAAAAATAGTTGCTTCAAATACTTTACATTTGCAGGAGAAATTATACTGACACACGGAGAACTTGAACCCTGATAAAACCCAAACAAAAGACATTTGGATCAGCGTGTTAGAAACAAAAGCTTGGGACACCATTGTGTTTGGTAAATATTCGTATGTGCATTTTGAAACAGATGTTTTATTAAGATTTTATAAAGTTCTCATAAAATACTCCAAATCCTTTTCATCTGGTCGTACATTTCACCAGAGATCACATTTTGAAATATTGGATTTTAACGTATTTTGTCAAATAGCTTTATCTGGTCACAACATTTTAACATTCATCACATTTTATAAATATATCATGCTAATTATGTTTATATTTACAGCTTCACAGCTTAATGATGATCTATAAATAAACTCTATAACTAGACTTGATTACTTCTGTGTATGGGATGGCGTATAAACAATTGGTTAAAAATAGTTAGAAGACGCTGAAAGCTGAAAAGTGCACAACAAGTTCTTGTCTTTGAACAACCTTGGAGCAAGGATGTCCCAATAGAAAAACAAAAAATCTCTGAGATCAATTTGTAAGAACAATCGCTCAAAGTTTGGAACTTTTGAATGAGAAATCGTTTATCTACAACGCCTGAAAAGATTATCCATCATTGAAACTTTTGATATCCAAATATTTTCTTTACTTGTCCGTCTGTTGTCTCCATAAGTTATTGATTTCATAAAATTCTGAAACTTCATGCAAAAAAGGGTAAATCCGCAACATTTTTAATGTTTTTATCAAAATTTACAAGACAAAATAGAAGATGGGCGCGAAGCGCACTGATTGCCAGTATTGTAAAACAAGGTATTATGAAAATAGCTAATCTCTTATTTTTAAAAGGTCTGAGCTGGGAACTTTTGAAAGGTGGATATCGGGATTAATGATTGATCTCCTCTTTTTCTTAATCTTCAGATTAAATAATGCTTGTTCTCCTCTTGTTATTAATCTACAGATCAATTAACCGATCGGGATTAAGGATATCACATTCTAAAGTTCCCAGCGCTGATCAATTTTTAATCCATATGGATTAAATTTTATTAGTAAAAAAATAGTTTAGTGGTCTCTGAAGGAAAAACCATACATAAGTTCCAAACTCCGCTTTTATAAACTTCTAAAGCCTGTAAACCAAGGCCGTAAAAACTTAATATTAAAGTAAGATGGTGTATAAAACGAGTTTTTGCTTTAACTTAAAGAGCATATAAAAATAAAAGACAGGAGGGTTGTAAAATAAACAGAGAAATGAACTGAACAGAAAATGTTAAAAACACTAGAGTAGAAAGCGAAAGGGGTACAGAATGGACAGGAAAAGGGTTGGAGGATGGAAAGGGTTGGAGGATGGACAGGGTTGGAGGATGGAAAGGGAAAGGTTTGGAGGATGGAAAAGAAAAGGGTTGAAAGATTGAAAGGGAAAGGTTTAGAGGATGGAAACGAAAGGGGTAGAGACTGGAAAAGGAAAAGGGTTGGAGGATGGACAGGGTTGGAGGATGGAAAGGGTTGGATAAAGGAAAGGGTTTAAGATTGAAAGGGAAAGGTTAAGAGGATGGAAAGGGTTGGAGGAGGAAAGCAAAAAATCGACTGCAAAGTTTTAAAGAAAGTTGTAAATTAAATCTGTGAAGTTTAAATTACCTAATTAGGGTATGTGCCAGTTGACATGGCTCCTCTGGGGGTATGGATTGCAGACCTAGAATATAATTAATCAATAATATATTTTATTATAGAAATTACCCCCCCCCCGCACTAGACAGGAAGGAATGTTTTTCGGTGATATGGACGAAGAACATTTTTTTTTCTACAAAATTTCATTGAAATCATTTATTATTTAAATTTAANGGGGCGTGGCGTCAAGCAAGTTTTTAAACCCTTTTAAAGTAGATAAATATATAAATATTTGTTTGAAAAGCATTCAACCCAACGAGGTTATATTATATTGAGTGATGATGTACGCTAATCCTTTACTAATTTACAGGCCGTGTACTCCATTTTCAAAGGTTAATCTGTATATTTCAGCACTCGGGGGTGATTTCTGAAAATAGTTTAATGGAGAATTTACTTTCCATTTAACTATTAAAATCCACTACACCATTTTTCACAGGAAGACGTACTATTAGTCTTTTATAGAGCAATATTTCATCGTTAATAAACGGTTATGAGAAAACTGAGTTAAAACATTTTAATTTTTGGAGGTCATTACGCGTTTTAGAAATATTTACCTAAAGTGCTGCCGTAGCACAGACATTCGGATACGGTATCAAGAACACATCTCCAAATACAACCCGGGGTTCTTATCTACAAACAAATTCATTACTATATTCATTATTTTTCAAAATTTAGTGATGAACAAGTTAAACAGAACTCAAACAATTTAACGAAATGGACAGGGGGGGGGGTAGTTTTAGCTAAAAAAAATGGTTAAAATGGTAAAATTGACATGATTTTGTTCACAAAGGATTACAAATTTTTAGGATTACATTTTAACAAAAAAAAATTCGCTTCCAGTGCAGATTTTTAAAAAAAAATCGTTAAATGCGTCCTAAACATCTCAATTTATTAATATGATGTGAGACACACTGTATAGTGTATATTGAGATAGCAATGTTCTGTTATACCTGAAGTGAATAGAGTGGAAGGGAGAGATGTGCACCAAAGTTTCTACTGTCCACAAAGTTAAGATTAGCTCTGATGCATAACAAGGATTTCCATAATCGAAATCCTTCAGTTACGTATGTGTCGGCACCGGTCACTACTAGAACGCCCCCCAGCAATCTCATGCCGCTTCGCTCTGTTTTCGCGGATTTACCAGTGATGGTTGCCAAAGATTTTGCGAATTTTTCCCAAAGAGGTTCCAAGGATTTCACGATGAAGCATTTAATTTGAAATTCCTGACATAGCACTTCATCCTGAATATTTAATTTACATCTTCATTTTCAGGAATCTCATAAAATGAATATTCGAGAAAATATTTCTGTAAAGTTTTGCGCCTTTAACATGCAAAAAAATTCTTGAAAAGTTATAATTGGAAAACTATCAGTACAAAAAACTGTAAGGACAAAATTAGGGAAGGAAAGATTTTTAAAAGATGTGATGGGGGGTGTATATTTTCTCTAAAATAATTTTTCCTTCCCCCCCCCCCCCCCCCCACTTCTGAAATATTTTTACCCCCGAATTCAAATTTGTTAGTGCATATTGCAAAAATCTTTTGCTGTCCAATTTTTCATTTTTCCACCTTAACTCCCCTAACTCATCAAAAATGATTTCCCCTCCCCCCTGGTAATTTTTTAAAAATACACACACCTGATATTTTTCCCAAGCCATTTTCCCAGGCGGAAACTTCCCACGGGTATTTTCCCAAGTGGCAACTTCCCAAATGTGCAATTTCCCAAGCGGCAACTACCCAAGTCTGTCCTAATCGCAACGCTCGACCCTCCCAGCCTGTTCTAGCCGAATTACTCGGACCCATAGCAAATCCTAGCTGCGTCACTTGGCACACATTGCAGCCTTCGGGGCCTCGGAAGGCCTAACCTACCCTTTGCGAAAGTCGGAACTTGTGTATTAGGAGGCTACCACGTGGGAAATTATCACTTGGGAAGTCGCTCTAGGAAAATTCCTTTTGGAAAATACATAAAGCTTTCAAAAAATTTTCGATTATGAGAAAGTAACTGACAAAAGTTATTTTAACCTCTAATTTAACAGAATTACAGTTTGCTGATGGGACAGGCACAGCACTATCTTCTTTCAGATTTCCTCCGTGGCAAACTAGATCCGACAAAATCCTGAAAATGAACAATTTCAGGGGTGCATATTTCATCAATTAATAATCCCACCTTTTTATTATCTATAAATTTGGCTTGTGTGTCTGTCCGTTTTTATCCAATAAATGTCATAACAGCTGAAGCGATCGGGCCCTCATGTGACCCCAGGAAAGGTTTATGAATGTTAAAAATTTGAAAAATTTGTGCTTGAAAGTTTGTATTTTTGTAAAATTTTTTAAATCTTGAAAATCTGCATATTTTTTTTCTCATAAAATCCACGAAATTATTTTCTTCTTTGTTTTTCAATGTTCACAATGAGAACACGTTGAACAATTTAAATAGAAGATGGGCAAGCCTAGTATTTTTAAAATTTACTTGATTTACTATTCAATGATTAGAAAGGTTAAATGAATATCTCATTGATTGACCCTAAAAATTTGCAAGTTTGAGACCAAAAAGCTTTTTTTGCAACTTGGATCCGGATCCGGATCCATATCTACGAGCTAAAATGTTGCATAGTTCATGGATCCAAATCCTAAGCACTAAGTATCTTATGTTCTGTGTTCAATAATATTTGATAATATACAGTTTGCAACAACTTCAGTCTGTTATGAAAATGTATTTCTCTAAATGATTATCGAAATTCCTTTGCAGATAATGTATATATTCTTCATTTTAATTTTGGAGAGAGGGTTTTACGTTTTCTACTTAATAATTCAGTGCAAGTTTACAAGTACAATAATGAAAACATTTCGAGAAGTGGAATGCTAAATTATAAATGAGTTTAGAGAGCTAAATCTAATTATTCTTTGGGTTAATGTTAATGTTATGATCATTTTCAGGACTCCTGGTGGAGTAAACAAGAAAAATTTTAGATTGCTCTCATGATATTCAATATTTAAGAATATCAAGTCCATCAAGATTAAAAATAAAGGACATTTTTTTCTTTTTTTGTCAAACTTTTTTCTTTAATTATTTTTTATTTGTTTTTATTTTTTGACATTTGCTTCTTTTTTAGATTTTGCATTTCTGTTTTCTTTTTATGTAACCTTTTTTTCTAGATCAACGCTAGCCTAGTTTTTATATCACAAGGTACATCAGTTCCTGGAGAAACAACTCTTTGGCTAAACCATGCAAATGTTTATGAATATATCAGTTCTGCAAAAATTGGCAATAAGTGAAAGAGGATTTTCTGACATTCTTGTAATTCTATTGGATGTATCTGCTTACATTGAAAACCATGTACATTTATCAAAATTATTAACACCTTTAAAAATTTGGTGATGGTGATGGACCAAACCTCTGTAGTGTAAAAAAAAGTAGATGTTAGTTCCACATTTATTGAAAATATATTTCGGCCTGTGTTGACCCTCATCATCTTGTATCTGTATCTTGTTTTGTGTCTTGTGTCTTGTATCAGCTTGCAGCTAGTGTCTAGTGTCTAGTGTCTAGTGTCTAGTGTCTAGTGTCTAGTGTCTAGTGTCTAGTGTCAAGTGTCTAGTGTCAAGTGTCTAGTTTCTTGTATCTAGTGTCTAGTGTCTAGTGTCTAGTGTCTAGTGTCTAGTATCTTGTATCTTGTATCATGTATCATGTATCTTGTATCTTGTATCTTGTATCTTGTATCTTGTATCTTGTAGCTTGTAGCTTGTATCTTGTGTCTTGAATTTTGTAACTTGTGTCTTGTGTCTTGTGTCTTGTGTCTTGTGTCTTGTGTCTTGTGTCTTGTATCTTGTATCTAGTATCTTGTGTCTTGTGTCTTGTGTCTTGTGTCTTGTTCCAACCACCCATTGTAAACCTTAATGAGTCTAAATTTGTGTCAAAACCCCCAAAATATTGGATGGTTTTTGTAAATTGGAGGAACTAGTAGAGCCCTGGGCGTACTATCAACATCTATAAGAGCAGTTTAATACAATTCAGTTCTTCTACTTTATATCCTATATAATCTTCTTTATCCTGAAAAATGCATAGCAAGAAACATAATGTTGATACAATAAAACTTCAAATCATGTTTTGAATATTTATGTTCTTAATTAATCTTCTTTATTTACTATGTTTTTATTGATTCTTCGTATGCACTGATACCCAATAACCTGCGGAATCATTGTCGTCTTATCTTTTTCTTTCAACTACAAATTTTTGTAATTTTCCAATACATTTCATCAAAAAATGTTTAAGGGCCACATTTTATAGTGAGAAAAAATTTAACTAATCGGACTAAATTAAAAATGTTCAATCACGTTTACGATTTAAACTACTTCTCGCTATTATTCGTTATGCATTAGATTAATCTGTGAATGTATGTATTTAAGTATTATTTTTTACTAAATATTTTTGAATTTTTACTTTGTACTTTTTAAAAATTTGTTGCTTTTCTTTCTTCTTCATTATCTTCAATCTCTTCTCCTCATTTCATTTGTATCTACTCGGAAATATTTTGGAATTCATTAATATAAATCAGACTGTATTCCCGTATTGTTGAATGCAGATCCTTCAATATCTAATTTTCTTGTTTAAATATAGGGTTACCCACTAAGGACGAGACGATTGTACTGACTTATTCATTTTTTTTTAGTTAGATTTGTTTTTCCATGAAGCACTAAACTTTAAGTATGCCACTTATATATCTTGTGTCTGGTATCTGGTATCTTGTAAGTCGTATCTTGTATCTTGTATCTTGTATCTTGTATCTTGTATCTTGTATCTTGTATCTTGTATCTTGTATCTTGTATCTTGTATCTTGTATCTTGTATCTTGTACATTTAATTTTAAGTGAAGTCATTGTCCATCTGATGAACAATGGTACTCATCTAACCTTTAACTAAACACGAATGAATGAGATATCCTAAATCTTTTGTCAAGAATGAGCTGCAGATTTATACTTCAGAGACAATGAAGGAAATTGTGAGAATTCAACACTTTACACTATGGAAAAACAACAATATTTTCCTCTTTGTTCCTTGCTTGGAAATTTAAAGGTTGCATTGCGAATCGGACACTATTTTTTTAAGAAGTCACTTCAAATCATCTTCTTAAGTTCAATGCTTTTCCCCCAAAAAAATGAAACTTCCTAACGTTAAATTATTTTTTTCTCTCAAAAAGCTAAGCCAGAAACAATTCAATTTAACCAATTTTTACAGCGGCTTTGCGCTAATTTATAAAATCCTTGTCATATAACATCAACAGATTAATTTCTTAAAAAAACAGTTTGCTACCTGATTAGCCAGGACTGCTGTTCTAATATTTTCTCTGACAATGTGTTATCCTGGTCCTCCTCCTGAGCTTCCTGTTCATCCTCTTCCAGTCCTAGACCAGCCGATGCTACAGGAGCAGCACAGCTCCTGTTTAAACTCTCAGGAGCGTACAGAAGCTGATCTAGCAATTTCTAAGAAGAAAAAATATGTAAATCTTTTAGTTCTAAGCAATCTTGGCATCCATTTAATTAAAAAAAATGGATCTGGATACAGGTCATTGACATTTCCTTAAGATTTACTGGTTTTTAAACACTTTCTTTCTCTTATTTTTTATAAATCTCAGAATCATTAAGGATAACAAATCTTAGAAACTATAAAGGATAAGAAATCTCAGAATCATAAAAGGATATAAAATCTTAGAATCATAAAGGATAAGAAATCTTAGAATCATAAAAGATAACAAACCTCAGAATCATAAAGGATAACAAATCTCAGAATCATAAAGGATAACAAATCTCAGAATCATAAAGGATAACAAATCTCAGAATCATAAAGAATAACAAATCTTAGAATCATAAAGGATATCAAATCTTAGAAACCATTAAGGATAAGATAAAGTGGGGTGGCTACTAGCTCTGGGGGCTATTTCACTACAGCCCCCACTGGGTAAATGGAAAATGTTAGGCCTCCTCTCCGGCTGTCTCCACATCTGGAAAAATTCTAGCTTCTGCCCCTGATCCTTAACGCATACTTTTATGTGATAATGTTGCTTACTTTAATAAATATTTGTGTAGTGCTAATAGATATATCTTGACCACAGTATGAGAGGGGCAGTAGAGAACTAAGGGCTTGTACACAACTATACTTCAAGTACTCACAACCATCCTAATTGAAATAACAGTTTCAATCAAATCATAAAAAATAAATTATCTATGGTTACCTGTAAAAGATGGGACTTTAAAGAGTACGGTCTGAATTTTATTGTATAGTTTTCCTCTTATTTTTATTCAACTGCAAACTTGTTCTATTCTTGATTAAAGGGAGAGACCGGTCATGTAACATATTTGAGCTGAAAGTGCAGCAGTGTACAGATAAACAATTTTTGAATATCATAAAGTCGTTAGTAATAAGATATATAGTAAAAAGATGTAAACAAATTTTATTTTACTGTTTAGAACAATTAGAAATTACGGCAAATTTTTCTGTTTTGGCAACCGTGACTATTAAGGAAACTATATTTCATGGCAATTATCATCATTACTTCTGACAAAAAAATTCATTTAGAATTGTTATATGCTAAATAGGGGGAAAACTAATGACTTTTAGGGAAAATAAAGAATTATTGGGTAGAAAGAATCAAAAAGGATAAGAAAACCTTGATAACCAAGTTTTCATCGCCCAGAGCATAAAAACAATTTTTCGAAAGAAAAGGGCAGATGGGGGACAATCTTGAAAATATATACCCCTGTTTTGTAAATAAAAATGAGTTGTACTAACCTTGATATAATTAAGTATGACAAGAAAGAACTGATCGTTTTTAAGAATATGGGAAACAAGACAGTGAATTCTAAAATATTTTGTTTAGGTGATTTACCCTGTTTATAAAATATTATTCAGAAATATTTTAAGTTTTGGAACATAAACATAAACCTTTAAAAGGTGTGCTCGCGAAAAATGAAACGAGGTAAGGGTTTACGTCGAAAAGAATTCGATGGTGATTGCTACTAATCTAATTTCTATCTGTTGCGCCTGTAAAGAGAAAATGGTTCAAGACGGCTCATACCGAAGAACTTGTCCATACAAATTCAGAGAGTTGCAATGTCCGGCTCAGATCATAAATAATTCAATTTAATTCCAAACAAATTATTCAGATATCATAACCGTCAAATTTTATTCGACGCCATCGTATATAGTTGATATTTCAAAATATTTTTATTTGTTTTGTTATACAATGCACTTAAAACGACGATTTTTTGTCCGCTAGGTGTCTCTCCCACGTGAAACAACAGAAACATCAAGAGGAAGGATAGATGGCGGCCAACGAATCGTCGTTCAAAATGCATCATATGGAAATAGAACTTACATGTTTCTTTCATCATTCTTTTCGTAAAACCTTGGAGATAATAAAATGGAGCAACACTCACTATCACCGTCTTTGCTCACCTGGAACAGACCGTTCCGCCGACCATTTCTTCATGGAACGTTTCTCCCAGCCAACCAAGGAACCCCAGACTACACAGAACCTCGGGACTAGGAACTCCAGCTAACACAGGGTCTGAACAAATATTTCTAAAAGCGACTGTTGACACAATTTCTAGTGTCCTTCAGCTAAAGAGGCTAATGCCTTATTCACAACAGTCTCCTTTAATTAAACCCCTTGTTTTAGCACACAATCAAGAAGTATCCATGTTATTCGTAATTTTTGGTTTCTGTAACATTAGTGACTAGTGGGTTTTGCGCAGCAGAGATAAAGAACATAATTTATTACCTGAATACAACACGGTATAAAGGGACTGTAAAGGAAAACTGAAAGGGGGTATAGTTTTATCTGATGTTCCTATTTCGAGAAATTGATATTAAACTGTGTTAAAATTATACGAAAGTTTATAGATGTAAAATTTAGAAAATATTAAACTTAAATCACGTGACCAGAACTATCACCAATGGCAGAGCAGTATACTGGTCACGTGTCTCCGCCTGTATCACGTGACCACTTTACTGCACTGCCATTGGCTGAATTTCTGGTCAAGTAATACGGACTTATAAATAATATTATGAATTAAATCTATAAAAAATAGAAATAACAAATATAAAATTAGAATTGGAGTACACCTAAGTTACAATTAGCTTTCTCTGGGATATCATCGTTTTCAGATTGGTTGCTTATTTGCTGAATTTTATCTATTTAACCCACTACTTTTATTCAAAATTGTATGTAGATTAATTTTCGTATAAATTTGACAAAGTTGTAAATCAGTTTCTCGAGACAGGAACATCAGTATAACTTTCATGGGTCGCGATCGAAAGCTGAAGTGATTAGCTTTCAGCCTATACCCCCTTTCATTTTTCTTTACAGTCCCTTTAAGAAGAAAGAAAACGACCGGTATCTTTCCATTTGACACTCTTTAAGAGGAGTAAACTGTATGCGGTCTGGGTTGCCCAAGATGGGGCTTCTTGCAGATCTCACATAATCACACATGTTTACAGTCAATATAAGTAACAACATCTTTCTGTTTACCACTGTGTCCCCCCCCCCCCCCAATCTTATAAACTTACCTAAATGTATTAAAATATCTCCAAGTGAAACTTCGCACAGACATTTTTTCTCCATACACGTTTCAAGTTGAATTTGAAATTCTGTCCATTTTTCATATCTCAATTTTTTGCTTTCAGCTCGGAAAGCCGAATCGTCCAAGGGTCTTTTTAGTAAATTCATTTCACTAATTTTTTCATAACATCATTAAGGTCAGATTTATCATTATCAATGATTTAGTTATGCATAGCACATGTAAGATTCATCACCATTAAACATGATTTAATATTTTACATTGTTTTTCAATCGGATATCTGAAAAAATCAGGTTTTTATAATCAATTCATATGATTAATAAATAATATTTAATTTCTAATAATATTCATATGTCAATTTTATACTTGGTTTAACTTTCAATTTTTTAATTGTTATTATTATTACAAAATATTTGCCTCTTCAAAGTTTAAAACGATAACAAAAATTATAGAGAATACTTTAGGCTCAATCCTTAGAGAAATATTATTAAAATATTTTTCATTTCATTCCAGGCAGGCGCACAACTAGGGGGGGGACCAAGGGGGCAAGGCCTCCCTAGCCTGATTAAGGGGGGCATGCCCTTCCCTTGAGGCTTTTTGCCCCCCCCTGTAGGGGGGGGCAAGAAATGAAGAAGTGCAACCTGTTTTGCAATTTAGCGATTTATGAAACCTGACCCTAAGCAAATTTAAAAGCTCTGATCAAAAAATAAAAAAAATGATAATTGAACGTCAGTTTATTGAGCTTATAGTTCAATCAGTGGAATGCTTCAAAAACAGCTGAAAAGAAGGGATCAATAACAATGGTCTCCTGGAAAATTCAGAATAACATTCTACTCCTTCATAGCAGATGAAGCAACAGCTAATACACCAATATCTTTCATTCTGCATTCGTTATGTAAACGTAAATGTAGGTTATTGCAACTGTAAATTATAAGGCATGTATATGGGACAGCTTGGGATACACCCACTGAATATACACATACTGAATATCCGCTTCGCGCGAAATATTTCCATCTTGCCCCCCCCCCCCATAACAAAATGTCTAGTTGCGCGCCTAATTCCAGGGTTAGATTAAAGGTTAAGGCGGGGGGTGGCCCAATAACCCATCTACAGGAAATTATCTACTTTTCGATGCATGAATATAAAACAGGCGTACCGTGTCCACTGTCCATGTCATAAAGTCAGTTTTGAACCTTATCATACTATTATCCACAACCTTAAGAGAAAACTTCTATAGTAAATAAGTTTTAGTCTGCAGTAAGTTCTGTTCCTCCCCTTAACTTAACTTCCAATTAATCTTCCCATGACCCCATCAAAGACCCCAGAATATTTTATTTTTCGGATTACAATCAACAATACTTACATTGTATGGAATGGCCTCCAACTTCATGTCATTGAGGAGGTTTAAATTAATTTTCAAACTAAGAATTTTGGTTAAAACATAATTACCTAGTTGCTAGTGATCAAAGAACAATATTAAACATTTTAAATAAATGTGTTTTTTTTTCATGAAAACGATACAAAACATAATAATAACAACACAGTCTGCATAATTGGGCAGGTAAACAATGGGTTAATTAAAGTGAGAGCGACTTGCGGCAATTTGCTCATAACAAATAGAGACTTTTTGGGTCTATAATTTTAAATTAGAACTTTTTATTAAAATTTTTTTAACAATACTTAATTGAAAATGATGGAAAATAAAAAATAAATTTAGGTTAAGATTATAAAATCTGAACCCGTATTAAGACTCTATTTTTGCGGATGTAACCGGAAGCTAGGAACCGGTTCGTGCCATCTGTTTGTTCTTGGGCCTAGGCCGCCTTGTAGATAGAGTATAGACCTACCTACCTGCCCGGCACATTTCTTCTAACTGTCCTTTTAGCTCAACTTTCATCATGGTGGCAGGGGTAAGACATGATAAAGTTTTAAATCCGCTAATATCTTTGTAATCAGTTATTTTACCGTCTTATATGTAAAACACTTTTTTCAAATTATACTATTTTACATTAATTAGAATCACATTCATTTTATAATTTTTTATTTGAGCGATTTTAAATCAATATTGCGTCATTCATTGAAGAGTATTTAGTAATTTTTGTGGAATCTTTTTTTCATTTAGACTTTGTATACCTATCCCGACAATTTCCGAGCCCAGAAGGCTTTGATCGCCGCCAAATACAGTGGGGCCAGCCTGACTGTGCCCGCCGACTTCGTGTTCGGGGAATCTAACAAAACCGCCGAGTTCACCAAGAAATTCCCCCTCGGAAAGGTAAGCGCATAGTTAATTTCTAAGCAGGTATGTTTTCTAAGAAATGCACAAGTTGGGGGTCCGTCCTAGTATACGATTTTTGGTATATTCCTAGAGAACGATTCTTGGACCCCCCCAGGGCCCCCCCTCCTATCAATTTTGTACATGGATCTTACAGATAGTGACAAAAATTCTTGAAAAGTTATAATT